TTATGACACTTGTGACTGTCTCTAAAGCCTTCTCTGACAACCCAGAATAAATCTTCCCATTGCAAGCTCCTAAATTCTTTAATTTAACCAGATTTACAAAGACATGGGTTTTTTTTTTTTTTTTTTTTTTTTTTTTTTTGCCACATAAGGTAGCATTTAGTTTCCAAGAATTACGGGGACAAATTTTATGCTCACCACAATGTTCCTCACTATATTATTATATGAAAAAATTATGCTCATTGTAAATGGTCAATCATATAAATTTGTTCAATCATATGACATCCACGATGGAATATTATAGCACCATAAAAATGAGTGATGGTTCTAGGGATGTAGTTCAGTGATAGAGTGCTATTATGCACTGGCATGTACAAGGTCCTGGGTTCAATTACAATGCCACAAAGAAAACTTATAATGGAAAGAATGGGGGTTGGAGAGACGGCTCAGTGGCTAAGAGAATGCATGCTCTTGCAGAAGACATAAGTTATATTCCCAGCACCTTTATTGGGTGTGACCATGTGTAACTCCAGCTCTAAGTGATCCAACACCTTTGTCTCCATGGGCACCTGCACTCACACACACCTACCTACACACATACACACACACACACACACACACATATACAAATAACTTAAGCTAAAAAATTTAAAAAGAATGATTTTTAAATAAATTGTGCAAAACTTAAAAATATATAAAATAGCATTTCAAACGATGTAAGGAATTAGACATTGAACTAAACTGTTGGTAAGAATATTAATTAGTACCAACAATTAGAAGATTCATTTAAAATATATACCAAAATATACAGTATTCAAACCTTCTAGTAAAGTTTTTAGATCTATTACTTTTCTCATTTTTGTTTATTATTTTGAAACAGAGTCTCTCTACATAGCCCAGGCTGGTCTTGAACACATGATCACCCTGCCTCAGCTTTCCTAGTAACTGGAATTACAAGCTCACACCACCGACACCAGCATTGTCTAGATTTTTTCAGGTATACTCAGTACATAAAAAGATCTTCACAAGCCACAGACAACAGATATTGTTGTAGTTTATAGTAACAAAACTAGAAAATAAGTACAATGTCCCTTATTCATGGGAATAGTTCCAAAATCTTCCCTTAAAAACAAAACAGAACAAAAAAAGGTAGTTTGTACACAAAATGGGCAAATATGGGATTATGTTATAGAATAAGGGTCAGGAAAAGAGCTCTACAGACAGACCTGTACAAGCATGAGGACTGAGTTCATTCCCCAACACCCATATAAAAAAGCCATGTGTGGTCACATGTTCCTGAAACCCCAGTGCTAGGGAACAGTGAGCTCTAGGTTCAGTATGAGAATCTGTCTCAAGGGAATAAGGAAGAGAGTAGTAGAGGACAACACCCCAATACTATCCTTCTCCAGCCTCTACACACAGCACACACACACACACACACACACACAATATAATGCTGAATGAAAAGTCATGGAGGTAAGACTACATAATGGTTAATATAAAAATCAAGGTTGACAACATTTTCCATAGGAAAGGAGGAAGGAAGATACAGAGGATGCATCCTTACTTTTTAAAACTTATTATTTTTTATTTTATGTGTATGAGTGTATTGCCTGCATGTAAGTACACCCATGTCATGCAATGCCAGTGGAGGCCAAAAGAAGGCATCAAATTTCCTGGGAACTGGAGTTACAGATGGTTGTTAGCTGCCATGTTGGTGCTGGAAACCAAACCTGGGTCCTTGGCAAGAGCAACCAGTACTCTTAACTGCTGAGTTGTCTCCCAAGTCCTGAGAATGCTTTCATGTTGTTAGATTTAATGTCCAAGTATTTTTTTTAAACCAGAAGATAACAGAGTTGGTGCAAATGTGGAGAATACTCTGAAACATATAGATGTTACATTCTAACTCTCCTGAAGACAGCTTCCTTGTCTATAAAATAGGAAGCCTCATAGGAGTTGCCTCAAATATGTAAATACCTAACATGTTTGTGGCGGTCAAGCCTAATGCTCATTTAATTCCAAGACGCTGATGAAGAGCAGACGGAGGAGAAGGAAGAAAAAGATGGCACATTTGACAACACGTGATCTGGGATTCGCCATTTAGAAGTATAGAAATTAAAAAAGAATGAAGACAAGACACACACGGCCCATAGTGCCTATGGGGTGCCATCAAGCACAACACATGTCCATAATGAGGATTCTAGGGAGAGGAGAAACTGGAACAGAAATAGATTTTTAAAGACGAACACCCAAATTCCTAAACTTCACAAAGATCTACACATTCAAGAAACTCAATGAACACTAAGTAGGAAAAACTGAAAGATAATACCTAGACATGTTGCTGAGCTTCCAAAAGCTAAACACCCTCTGAAACATGTATTTTACAGCATGTCTGTGTAAGTCACTCTGGTATTTTCTATTCTACTATGTTGTTTAAATGCTTTTTCTGACCTACCAATTGCTTCCACAAACCAATGATGTGGTAGTATCCCCAGTGTGGAAACTCTTGTGCATGACATACTGGGAGGCAAAGGCAGATCACTATGTTCCTAAAGGGCAAGACCTTGAGAATTAACAGGGGCAAGCTTCTTTCTTACCTTCCCAGAGGGCTGAGAAGCCACAGAGGCAAGAACAGAGGTCCTAACCATTCTAACAAGCTTTCAAGTAAGACTTTGAAGTTATTCAAGATAGAATCTCTTCTATTACTTAGGAAACTGGATTAAAATTATATCAGCATTAGTGTTTAGTCCCAGAAGCCTATATTTTCCTGTTTACTGTATTACATGTTTAACTGACACACAGAAAAAAAAAATTGCAATTTAAGAGCATCCTCTGTCAAATCATGGAAACGCCTCCATTTTTTGTAATAATGGAAATTTAGTCATCAAACTTGGCTGTACAAAGCTGTCATATGCCTTCTCTACACAGGGCCTCATCATCTGGTACTACTCCAATCAACAGCCGGACCTCTGCAGGAAGGGAGAGCTGAAGACCATCAGTGGTACGTGATTGCCAATGAAAACCAACAAATGGGCCCACAGGAAGGGATTTTTGTCTTATTATGCTGACCGCAAGGAATTAGTGGCTCCCAATTAGCTAGATTCACAGGAGAAATATGCCTAATTATAAATGCATTTATATAATTAAATGCAAGGTGCTTAATTACCACTGTTTTATTGGTGACCCTGCAGTACCAGATATTGTATTTTCTTAACATCCAGCCCCTTCCCTTCAGCAGTAAATATTATACCTTTAAAAGATGACTACCCCAAACAAGAACAATACACATCCTCAGGAAGGGCCATACGATCCCAAAATGTTCACTGTACCAACCATTAAAATATAAAGCACCGGAATTTTTTTTTCTTTTTTTTTTTGAGACAAGGCCTTGGTTATGTAGCTCAGACTGGCCTCCAACTCAATGCTCCTGATTCTATCTTCCAAGTCATGGGATAACAGCCACAAGCCATCACTCCCAGTCTGATATGGTTTTAATATCCACAAATTCTTTAGTTAATTCATTAAAAACACACTTATTACTAATTATGAAACTTGCATTTTCTTTGGTGTCTCATGATTAAAGGCACAAGGAAAAGGTAGTATTTTTATTGCTATAAAATAAGGACACTTGTAACAGGGCAGGAGGGAGAATCTCATTGATGAGGATGTGTTGAAAGCACTAAAAAACAGTGCTTATTTCATGTGGCCAGCTTTTGTTTATAGTTATTGAAACACTGTTTTCCAATACTAGAGTGCTTTATCCAAGTCTACATCTTTTTCTAGAAAATGCTATTTGATGATTCCCTCAAGTAGGCCTTCCTTGAAAACCCCATTCCTCCCCTTTCTATATATAAATGCCTCACGATATACTTTCAGCAACAGTACTATACAGCAAAGGAGTTTTATACCAGTGATTGCAACCTGCAAACATACAAAGGAAGTCCTGTCCCCATCCCATTTGACAGGTGAGGAATGGTTGCTTAGCCATGTGCAAGACCCTAGGTTCCACCCTTAGCACAAATAAATAAATCGGGCACAGAAAGGTTGAACAACTTGCCTTCAGAAACGAGCCAACACCAGGCCTCTAGTCCACACACTCTTCCGCTCCCTGTCTCTCTTTCCTACGTCCCTTGACACTCTTATCAAAGCAGTAATCTGGACACTCTGAAATGACCTGAACGTGGATCCACCTTGTCCAAGAGACAGCTGAGTGATCAACTCTGTGACCTAGCAAGTGGCTAGGACAAGTGCCATGTGAATCAGACCTTGTCACTCTAATGCTTCCTGAGTATGAGTTCCCATGAACTCAGATATATAACCCTAGTCTCATACAAACAAACTCTATTACTAACTCAGCCACAGCCTTAGATTCCTACACCAGGCCTATACACATGGCTTGGGGAGGTAATGCTACCACCAACTGCAAGGACCAAGTGACAGACAGGACCCCGGAATTACAGTTAGAAAGGGCAGTGAGAGTCACTTTCTCTTTGTCTACTCCTTCCCCTTTCAAGCCATCCTCCTCCGGGCAGCAGTTCTTACTAGAGTTTCTTTTACTGCTCCTCTCCCCAGGGAAATCTGACAATGCTTTAAGATATTTGTGATGGTCACAACTTTGGCAGGGAGTTCTACTGGCATCTAATGAATGGAGGTCAGGACTGCTGAACAAAAGACAGCCCCCTCCAGCCCCCATCACAACTCAGCACAAAGAATGGTCTGGCCCAAAAAATCAGTAGTTAAGGAACCCTGTGCCAGGGTGAACAGCCTCTGTGAAAAGAAGAACTCAGTTTACCTACACTGCTTTAAAAGATCAGAACAAGGCTACTAGCGAAGGAAAGGGCATGAGGGCAGCAGCCCGACAATTCAAACCTGTGGGCCAATTTCCTTCCTGCAAGAAACAATTCCTGAACATCTAGGATGAACAGCCAGTATAAACTATAAATTCTAGCATTTTTTCCTACTGTGTCCCAGACATTCTCTAAACAGTCAAATTAGGTACTAACCCAGCTGTGCCCAGAGAGGATTATATGGATGTGTTTTGGCCAGCATGTTCACCGACTGAGAGGTGCGCTTCTCCGAGAAGGCTTTAATGGGAGGGTGGTCGACAGGCATGACAGTTGGCACCCAAGCCAGGTGGTAGGTTAACACTGCAGTCAGTAAGGCGGCAAAAAACCTTAGAGAAATGGAAAAAAGCACATGCTAATATATTAGCCAATACAGACAGGGCATATCCTTTGTGGAACATATACTGGCTTAGGATTTCCCCACAAGTCTCAGGAGGGTTGATGCTTACTGGTTTTTGTTGATTTGTTCAATCAGAAATGTAAATTCCTTGAGAAAGCGCTGGCAGAGCTGGTTTTTTTCCAAAGTGCTTGACATCATGGTAAGCCACACTGGTTCAGCTATCCTTGGAACAGAATATAAATTCCAGATAGTTCCTCTATAGAAGAGAAAAAGGATACACAAACTGTCACAAATATTTATTCTGGACAATCTTGGTATCAAAGAATAAAGGTGAAAGCTATAACTTGGATCTATGTACTCTTTAAGGGATTCAAGCAATGTATTTGACACAGGTTGGTACTATGACTTACATGTCAAATCTGATTGCTACCATTTAAAAAAGTTATTTTAATTTTATGTGTATGACTGTTTTGCCTGGATGTATGTAAGTGCACCCATGTCGTCAGTGCCTGTAGAGGCACAAGAGGGTGTTGGACCCCCTGGAATTTGAGTTACAGACAGTTGTTGGCAACCATGTGCCTGCTGGGAAGCTAACCCAGGTCTTCTGAAAGAGCATCCAGTGCTCTTAACCACTGAGCCATTTCTCCAGCCCCATGACTGCAACCAAAATAAACTTTATTGGAACCCAGGTGTGCTCGCTCATTTACACACTGTCTATGGAGGTTTTCTGCAGGACAATGGTAAAGTTAGGCAGTTGTACATAGACTTTTTAGAGAAAAAGTACATTATCCTTCAGATAAAAACATTCATTTAGAAAACAACTTATGGGCTGGGGATGTGGCTCACTGGTAGAATGCCTATCATGTAATGGCCCCGAGCTGGATCTCAAGCACTACACAAAAAGAGTAATATAAAAGGTTTTAAGAAAAAAATTACAATGCCCTTTGTCAGGATTTATAAACAGTTAAAAATTTCTAAACTTATTTTTTAACCTATATACATAAAAATTTTAAGACTGTACATGTTTATAGGGTACCACACAGTTATTTTTAGGTTTTATTTATTTTGTTTTTGCACTTGTGGCTAAGGTTCGAACCCAGGTCTTTTTACATGCTAGGCAAGTACTTTACCATTGAATTACATTCCCAGCCTCACGTGGCATTTTTATGATAAAGAAATATACAGAGATCTGGGGCGTGGTAGCACATACCAGTCATCCCCACACTCAGGAGGAGGAGGCAGCAGAAGGACACTGTCTTTAAAAAATGACAACACTGGGCATGGTGGCACGACTTTAATCCCAGCACTCAGGAGGCAGAGGCAGGCGGATCTCTGTGACTTCAAGGCCAGCATGGTCTACATAGTGAGTTCCAGGACAGGTGGGGCTACAGGGAGACCCTGTCTCAACCTCACCCTCCCTGCAAAAGAAAAGAAATAGAGGAAGAAAGCAGCATATGCAATGTTGACAATGAGGTCATAGCAACTCAATGCTACCACTTTCTAGTTAGTGTTCTGGCTTTCTAAACCAAAGTACCCAACTTGTTTGAGAAGAAAAAAAAAACTATACAAATGGCTTTTATACCAGCTTTAAAAAAATTTTTTTTGTTATTTTTTATTTTATGTGTATGAGCATATTGTCTGCATGTATGTAAGTGCACTGGTATCATGTGGTGTCTGAGGAGGTCAGAAGAGGGTGTCGAATTCCCCTGGAACTGGAGTTATGGATGGCTGTTAGCTGCCATGTGGGTGCCAGGAATCAAACCTGGGTTCTCTGCAAGAGCAGCCAGTGCACTTAACCACTGAGCCATCTCTCCAGCCCCTACATAAAACTTTTTATATTGAAGCTTAGACAGACTGGGTAACTGCTACAAGATACACATTTAATGGCAAGGGATGATGGGAATTCAGGCATGGAGGGCTCTATTATAAGCTACATGTGCTTTTCCAAACTGCAGGAACTTACTCGGGCCCTCCAGTGGGTGAAAAAGCAATGCGGCTCTGAATATGTAACACATCCCTCTCCCAGATCAACACAGATGAGGCTTATTCTGACCTGAATATGTAGCTGTGTGCCTAAAGGAATTAGGACAGAACACGCATCTACCCTGGCAAAAAACAAAAAAAAAAACAAAAAAAAAACCAGGTATTTACTGAGTTAGGGAGCAGTGACAGATCACACCAACATGGCCCTGGGATTCCCTTACAAAGCTAAATCTCTAAATGTTACTAGTATCCAGACTCCCAAGCACAAGCCAGCTCTGAGTGTGACCACAGAAAGGCAACAGCAAACCCAGCACTGCCCCCTCAAAGCAGATGGCCCACCCATCATGAGATCGTCTTCAAACCACAACCTTACCAGTGTATCACAAGTATTAATATAAGCCTAAACAATCATCAGATGATGGCCAAAACTACTTGAGTATTTTATATGTAAACCAGAAAAGAATTCAGAAAGGGTAGTGATTTTATTTCAAGAAGTCTTGAGTTTAGCAACAAAAATGTTCTACAATTCTATGAACTGTAAATTTTGTTTTAATCCCTCAGCTGTTTGGCTTATTTACTCATGACTGCTGTGGAATGAGATTCCATTCTCTATTGAGAGACTGGCTGTAAGAAATACAGATCAGCATGCTTGGAGAAAATTTCATCCGATACCCAGAGCAGATTACCTTGCTACCCACATTCCAGGAGCAAGCACTTCAGAAAACCAGTGTCAAAGACGAACAGTTATAAACTGCTTATGAAGTCAAGGAAGGGGGATCAGATGATTCACTGTCCAGACGGGACATGTACAAGAGGACAGGGGCTGTGAACTAGGACTGTCCTGGCAAGTGGGAGCCTGGATCGGCCTAACATGCACACACTTTCTTCATGTGCACTCTAGTAGACAAGCACTTCTGAACCCAAGCTTCCACATCTGTTAAGGATAAAAAGGCCTAGCCTTGGGACATTTGTGGAATGACATGAAATCACCTAACAAGCCTTAAGATAGCACTGAAAATTGGGTTTCAGTTCATCCTGTTAAAAACAATCCCATCAAGGCTGGGTGTGGTGGCACAAGCTTTAATCCAAGCACTCAGGAGGCAGAGGCAGGAGGATTTCTTTGAGTTTGAGGCCAACCTGGTCTACACAGTGAATTCCAGGTCAGCTAGAGCTATATAGTATGATCCCATCTTTAAAAAAACAAAAATCCCATCAAGGACTATCTATCTGGCAGCAGTAAGGATACCTCTGTGCAGATTATCCAAAATTGGGGCTTAATTTTATGGGTAGAAACACTAACATGACTAGTTTACAATACCCCAATTCTTCTAAGCTACAGACCCACGGCAGCTGCTGATACTATTGCTCATAATTCCCTATTGGGGTTTCCAAACCTTGTACTTTACCTGAATTCTCCCAGAGCGTCCATCAGACGGCTGACATAAAACTGGACACGAAGACTTGATTCTGCTATCTTCCTACAGGAGACCATGGCCTTCGTGGGAGAGAGTGAACCAAGTTACTCTCTGGAGAAATTCCCTTATAACTGATCTGCTGAGCCTCGTTAATGAAAAATGGCATTATAATCAACTTTAAACACTCAAGGCAATAATGCTTCTGCCACCAGAGAGCAGTAACTTCCTTCCCTCCAGTAACCAGTGCCTGGAATCTAGCTAAGGATCATCATTCCTGGGATGATCTGACTTCCTCAGGAAAGTGGTCTGACAAATACAAAACAATTTGCCATCGATAGCACCCCAAATCATTGCTCCTCCATTTGCCACTAGGCTGTGACCTTATTAACTTTCATCTTATTTATTTGCTTTGTGGTGCTGGGATGTAACCCAAGGCCTTGCACATGTGAGGCAAGCACTCTACCACTGAGCTGCACCCCCAGCTCCTTATTACCTTTTCGATGGCACTCTTTAGCCTGTTCATGTGAGATTCAAACAGGGGGAAATGGGAGAAAAAGAAGTCCTGAAAGTTCTGTTGTGCTTCTTCTTTCTCACACAAAGAGAAGATGATGCTGACAGCAATTTTCTTTCTCCTAACCATGGCTGGGTTAGAGCTACAGCTTTCTTCAGCCAAGCTAAATGTCTCATCGGTTGACCTGGAGGAAAAATAAGTTTGAAAAGTCAACATGTCATCAGTGAGTCACTGTCATGTCTGGACAACACTTGGGAAGCTAATCCAGAACCTTCAGAGTCTTACTTAGCTAGTAGTTTATCTGCCTTAAATTTATCCTCTTCTGACTCCTTATCATGAAAAAGAATATCCATTTGCCATATAGTATCTTACCATGAAAAGAAGCTCAGATGAAAGCCAAAAGTAATTTAAATGCCCCCTGTTGGACTCTCATCCTTTTGATGGTATTTAGAGGGAATGTGGGCTATTGTTTCTCTCAAAACTCAGGTCCTGGCCAGAGAGATGCTCAGGAAGTAAAAATGCTTTACTGAGCAAGCCTGGTGACCTGAGTTTAGTTCCCAGAACCCACATAAAAATCTGGGCATGGGAGCACACATCTGTAATCCCAGAACTCCTACTGCAAGATGGGCGGCAGAAACAGGCCGATTGTCTGGAAGCTCACGGGCCTCGTATCCTGGAGTACAATATGCAGCATGACTCCCAAAATGTGTTCTCTGATCTCCATACAAGCTCCCCGGTACATGTGCACCATGGAACACATGCACCCACACTCATACATTCACACACACACACACACACACACACACACACACACACACACACACACACACACACACACACACACACACACACACACACACACACACACACACACACACACACACACAAACAAAATACAGGTCCACAGTATTTGTTGATAGACAAGAGGTGAGGAAGTGAAAACAGTCCTACTGAATGAATAGTCTGTTTAACAGGCATCATGCTTGCTTGAATATTTACTGGCAACTTTCCCAGGGCTATTAAAATCAGCAGATGAAGTTACTCCTCTAAATGCTCCAAGGAAGCCATGTGATTGATTGACTGAGCACTCTGGGAAATCCCCTAAGCAGAAAGACTCGACTCTCTTCTGTTAGAGTCAAATTCTCAAAGAACTTATACTTCTTCTGAGAGGTTCTGCTTCTGTAATAAAAGAGCTATAAAACCAGTATACTCTGAATATATATTCCATTTGTCTTAAGGGATAATATTCACAATTATGGCATAACTATGATCATTATTTAAGTGCCCTGAAAAGCCAGGATAGCCACCACATAGCTACTGAGAGCAAGAGCGAAAATAAAAGAATGTTTTATTTGACAAAGGCGCCAAAGCAAAGGCCACAGTATTCTGCAAATGAGCACACCTAGCCTGACACACCACAGCACACACATGCCACATTTTTCTTAGTCACTTATTGTATCAATTAGTCACTTACTGTATCAATTACCTCTGCCAAATATGGGAGAACATCATTTCTTCTGCATTCTTTTATTTTAAACAAATTATGGCATAATAACTGCTTATGCTTGGTAGAATTTGAGGCAGCTTCACACACAATCACCAACTTCCTATTCAGAGCTCTTATTCACAATCTATAGTATCCTATGATTTTTAAACTATATCTGGATCTTACTAACACACATTCAAATATTCATAACACAACATTCAAAGCCGTATGGTTAGAATTTTTAAACTATATCTGGATCTTACTAACACACATTCAAATATTCATAACACAACATTCAAAGCTGTATGGTTAGAAAGCGATGTTTAAAAGAAGACAAGGAGCCAGGCATGGTGGCACACACCTTTAATCCCAGCACTCAGGAGGCAGAGGGAGGCAGAGCTCTGTGAATTGGAGGTCAGCCTGGTCTACATAGCCAATTCCAGGCCAGCTGGGGCTAAGGGAGATCCTATCTCTAAAAGACTAAATAAATAAATAATAAATAAATAAATAAATAAATAAATAAATGTAGGCATCTTGTTCTAAGCTCAGGGGTATATGTTTCTGCTTTCCTTATATCTCTTTTTTTTTCTTGTCTTTTTGAGACAGGGTCTCCCTGTAGCCCCAGCTGGCCTGGAACTCACTATGTAGACCAGGCTGGCCTCGAACTCACAGAGATCCTCCTGCCTCTGCCTTCGGAGTGCTGGGACTAAAGGCATGAGCCACCACACCCAGCTCCATACATCTCTTGAGACCTAGAATGAAGGCGTGTATGATAAATCAGAACAAGACTCTAGATCCTGAGACAACCCAGCAGCTCATGATCTGCAGGTATCATGTGAATACACCTAGTATCCTAACAAACCACCAACTCTTCTCTGGGAAATCTCCAGGTCCCAATCACCAGAAAAAGCTCTTGAGAACCTTGTAGACTGTCACAAAATTTCATACAGGAAGTGATCCAATACAATGCCCTATGTTTTTGGTAAAGTGCCTATATTGAAACCTTGCTTGTGTATCCTAGTTTATTTCTGTTCTGCATATAAAATTCTAGCCAAGTGTGATGGTGCTCGCCTTTAATACCAGCACTCCAGAGGTTGACATAGAAGGATCTCAGGTTCAAGGCCAGAGTAGGCTATATAGTGAGATCCTGCCTTAAAAAAAAATTCTTCAGAGCTTATATTGTAAAACTTGCGGACATCTATTTCTCTTCTTTTTCAAAAGTAAACAACCATATTCCATTGTTCCTCAGGTCAATGTGGTCTTTAACAAGTAACTGGTAATCAACACTGTGTTCTATAAAGTTTTACTCTTTACGGCCATCTCTACCCTGCAAACAATAGCCAACTTGGCCATCAGTTTTAGCATAGTGAAGAGTGCCACCTGCTGAATTTCTGCAAAACTTCCCCAGCCAGACAAGCTAGATCTTACTGGCTTCACTCCATCCTATTGAACTCAAAAACAACTGAGCTTCTGTCTGTAGTCTTGGATCAACTATCCAAACAAATATATCAGGTCATACGGTGTCCTAATTGTATTTCAAGTATTATTCCGCAATAAAATTGTATTTGAGCATGTTCCTAAAAATTTGTCTATACAGCCAGATACTTTTACTTTTCAAATATTTACTCCCAAGTCACCAGGTAAGCTACACAGGCTGTTTTGTAAAATACAGAAACTGAAGCAGTGCTGACCTAGGGAACAGAAAGCGTCTTGGTACCAGTGATGGAGTTACCAGGGCTTCTGTCCTCTTCTGGTCTAGGATCCTCTCTTGGACACTGGAAGTAACCAGACTCTCACTTTGCCTGATCCACCTGCTGGTGTTCATGGCATAAGATGCACTGTGACAGCTGCAGCGCCAAGGGAATGGAGCTGGAAGCACTCACATCAGCCAACAGGCTTCGGGTCACAGAAAACCACAGCCACACACTTATGTTCCTTATAGAGAAAGCAAACAGAGCCAGGTGTGGTGGTGCAACGCTTATGGCTCCTACACTTGGAAGCACAGATGGGAGGACCATTAGGTTAAGACCAGTGTGGGCTACATAGCCAGACCCTATTTTTTAAAAAACCAAATTGAGTTTTCTTGTACTTTAGAATTTGCGTTTGTGGAGCTGGCTGGAGAAATGGCTTGGTGATTAAGAGTGCACACTGCTCCTGCAGAGCACTGGGGTTCGATTACCAGCACCCACATCGGGTGCCTCATAAATGCTGTAACTCTAGCTCCAGGAGAGCTGATGCCTCTGGGCCTCCACAGGCACCTGCACTCATATGCACATACACATAAATATATAATCATTAAAATAATTTTTAAAAACCTTTAAAAGCTATGGTTGTATACGTTATAAGTACTTCAAGATCATAAACACTTAAAACAAAAATTTTATCTTAGTACATAAGAATAAACCATAACTGGTGTCAGGACTGCTTAGAACCAATTGTTACTGAGGTCAAATTTGAACTTGCACTGAACCTATGCTTTACACTGAACCCATGAAATGGATAATCTGCTAGGTCTGAGACCATCCTATCAGCAACTTTATATGGTTTGTTGAATTTAATAAATCAAAAGGCTTCCTAGAACATGCCAAGCTCCTTCAGGATTTAGCTAGCCTCCCTAGCAATGAAATTCCTGTGGCTCTTCTACCCTGAGAGATAGCAGTGCTGCTGCCAACCGTAGGGTGCCCCACACTCCCCACCCAATACCCAGGTCCCAAGCTTACCACCTGGCACAACAGGGGTCCTGAACTCAGAGTGGAGCCAACCCTTAGGAACTGTATCAACACTCTTTAACTCCCAGGAAGTATGTTTTTAATTACTATGAATTTTCTCTCAAAGCTAGAAGCAGTAGTAACTTTTGATAACACTGTTCTGTTTCTAGTATAAAAAAACTACCTTTTCTGCCAGGAGTGGTGGTATATACCTGTAATTCCTCAGGAAGCTGAGGCAGGAGAATCTTAAGTTCAGTGCCAGGCTCAGAATAGAGATGGATGGGAAGATGGGATGAAACTAATTTTCTCATCCACACACTTGTCAAAAGGAAGTTATTAACCGCAACATCCTTTAAATGAAGAAATGGGTCTTCAAGGGTAGAGTGGCCAATTCAAGGGCTCCCAGGCATATGATCCTGCTCACATAGGGCCCTGTTCTCAAAAGGAACCCAGCCAGGATAGGTATAATGTTCTGTGCTGTCTGAATTCTCAGAAAAAAAAATTTTGAACTTAGAAGATGCAACTGAGGTGTAGTGCAACAATGCAGCAGACATGTGAGTGGTAAAGACCAGCAGAAACAGTCTGGACCCAGGTAGGCTCAGGCCCGAGAGCGACTGGCCTAAAATGCAGCCCTGAAACAACTGGGCCACCAGTCAGACACACATCCACATGATTGGGGCAGACCAGAGTACATGGAGCCCCCAGAGCAGCAAGGTTAGGACTTCACTCCAGACAATGGCTGAGAGAAGAGCCAAGGCAACAGTGGTGACCACGGTCATGGAGGAGGGGTGAAAAGAGAAGGCAAGGCCGCCGGCAGAGGCTGGTGAGACCAGCTTGCCCACCTAGCACCAGAGCCTGTCCTCAGCCAGTCTGCACAAATATTGGACTTTCTGACCTGAGCCCTAAGCAGGCATTTGGACATTGCAGTAGAGCCTATTAGGCTGCTTCAAGAGTTATTATTAGAATCTCTGGTTTTGAAAGCTGCTACATTACAAGGCAAACATTCATAGGTATAGAAACGGAATGTAAAGATTGTTGGACTAGAGAGAAAAAAACACTATTTCTCTACAAAGATTTAGATGAGTAAATTATTAATAAAGTCATTTTGAAATTAATGCTTTCCTATCTTGGAGGACATGGTGGAAGAATACATAAACAGTCAATTTTGAATTATACAACGCATGAAGATATGTTCAGCTCCCTAAGATACTCACCAGTTACAGGAAACATCAAAGGAAACATTAAATAGTATGGATTTAATTTACATTCATCTGAAATTAAATTTGTACTGTACTCACACAAAAAGGATCTGTGTAAAGAAGCAAATCTTTTTACAGAAATTTCCAGGAGAACCAGCTGATCTAGATGTAGAGTGTCTAGCTTAAAAGGTTCTCAAACATGTATCTAGTGTTGTCACAGCTCACAAAGCCCCGGTAATACTGCCTTGGCAGAGATCCTTCTCTAAGTAAATGATTATCAAAACTGTTTGCTTCTTTGTGTTTGCCAGGAGTGGCAGACGCATTCAGTATTGACTAAAGCAAAGTTACTCAGAGTCTGATAACCTAACAAATGCATTTTGAGAAAACCCAGAAAAATCTTATGATGGGACCCAAGGGAGTATGATCAGGATGTCAGAGACCTCACAGAGTTCCTCATAACAATCTTTGGGGAAAATGTTGCGATCAACAGTTCACCCATGAAAGACTCAGCATTCACACTGGTCACAGAGCTCTAACATAAGCACCATCATTCACCATCTCCTAAGTAGCAACAAGGGGAACATTCAGTCTGTGATGGTGAGCTTTAACTGTCAACTTGATACAACCTAGAATCACCAGGGAAGAGTCTCAGTGAGGGACTTTCCACATTGAGCTGGACTGTGCTGTGCCTGAGGCAGGGGAAGGGGTTGTCTTAACTAAATTAATTACTGTGAGAAGATCCAGCCTACTGTGGACAGCACCATTCCCTAGGCAGGTGGTCCTGAACTGGGTAAGAGTGGAGAAATTGTGCTGAGCACAAGCAAGTGGGCATGCATGCATTTATTCTCTGCTCTTGACTGTGGATATGACTAGCTGCTTCACAGTGGTAGTACTTCCTACCACTGTGACTTCCCTGCAGTGATGGACCATAATCTGGATGGAACTGGAAGCTGAATAAACCACTTCCTCCCCTACACTGATTTCTGTCAGGGTATTTTATCATAGCAACAAAAATGAAACTAGAACACAAACATAAAAACCAGAGGCCAGGGATACTAGATAAAGGAAAAGAGAAATGGAGCACCCTAGGCTTGACCTGAGCATCAGCTCAGAAGACATCTTCACAAAAAAAGAGGCTGGAGAAGGACCAGCTAGCTGCTAAGACAAAAGATCTTCGTGCCATTAACCACATAGCTTAAGTCCACTGAGCTCAAGATCCTGGAATGTAAGCTAGCAAGCTCATGTACTCCAGGTCCATGGAAAGAACTCCTCTTACAGAAAGAACAGTCCTCTAGCTACCATTGCAGCACCTCTGAACCTCCCATGTGTGGGAAGCGAGCACAGCCGAGCCAGCCAAAGATGGAGCCCTGGCTGGCTGCCAAACCTCGTGCTGTTTACTTCAACTCTTGGCTGATTGCCAAGGCTCGTGAATCCCGCTTGTTTACCCCAACTCTGAAGTATGGTGAGCCCCAAAACAGGTGCTGCCAGCCTGATGATCTTGCTACGTGCCTATGAGCTACACTCTGCCTGGCCGCTGCACGTGTGTGAGCCCTGATTGGTACCGGCTGGGGGGAGGACTGTTGGAAACGCTATATAAAGAACTGAGGTGTGTAATAGAAGGACCTACGAACAGCATCATAGTGAGAGAGAATGAAGTGAGAGATATAATATAATAGAGAACAGAACAGAAGCAGCATCATAGTGTATGAGATAATGAAAGAGAGAGAATAAAGGATGCAAGAGAAACAGAAGCTTGAACCTCACCTTGGTGTTTGTGTCGTCTTTCCTGGACTCTGCTGGACAGAGTCCCGGTTCGCGGCACCCATGAGTGCTCCACCAGTCTCCACCAAGGAGGTGGGATAGCTAGTGATCACCACTAGATTCCAACTATACTCAGGGGCTCAGCCCAGGAACCACTCAGTACCAAATGACCAGCACGATCTTACTCAAGATGAGGAGGCTACTGCATCCCTCAGGCAGCATCTTTTTCCAAACAGGCCAAGATCCACAACCCACCTGATCACTGGGTTAGCCAATAGCAGAGCAAGACATAAATACTTGAGGAAAAAACATCTTAGACTGAATCAAGATACTGTCCTATATCACATATTACATAAAATTATGACACATGAATAGTTATTTTAGAATTTATAACTGTCAATATTCATATACCCCCCATATATATATATATATCTCATACATATTGTTTGGTTTTTGAGACAGGTCTCACTATGCAGCCCAGCTGACCTGGAACTCACTATGTAGATCAGGCTGGCTTTGAACTCAGAGAGATCTGCCTATCTCTACCTCCTGGGTGCTGAGGTTAAAAGCATGCACCATCATGCTTGGCCACTATTATATTTTAATTAAGGTATTTTTAAACACAATCTTTACATTTTAGTACCTTTAACAGAATTTTTCTTGCCTCATGAACAAAGAACTGGCACTTCATTTGTACTGGTTCCAGAAATTATGCAGCCAGTCCTGACTGTATTATTAGCCTTTCTGAAGGAAAGATTCTCATTTAGGTCAAAGTTCAGTAGAGGGCCAGTGAGATGGCTCAGGAGTAAAGGCACTTGCTGCCAAACCTGACCATCTGAGTTCAATCCCTGGGACTCACATGGTGGAGGGAAGGAATCAACTCCTGCAGGTTGTCCTCTAATCTCGACTTGCATACCATGGCAAGCATATGCCCATACACAGACATACACACACACAAGTAAATAAACAGAACTTTAACAAAGATCCATTAATTCCCAATGTCAGGCCTCTATTCAAAAAAATTTTTTTTTTAATTTCAGAGGAATAGCCTTGGAAACACTACAGTCAACTTTAGATTAAATCTGAAGGGATGAAAACCCACTTCCAATGAAGAGAACGTAAAGGGGGAGCTTTCCAGATCCATCTCTTCCCAGCACAGAGGCTGGCAGAATGGCTGTGAGGATGGCACAGGCACCAAGCTGATGGGCACTATCAATGGTACTGATAACGAGAGCAATGACAGCTAAGTAAGTCACACTGGCCAAGCTTTATTTTTATTTTTTTTAATTACTATACCTATTTCTATACTCTAACTTTCTCTCTCTCTCTCTCTCTCTCTCTTATATATGCATGTGCACAGTATATAGAGATCAGAGATCAACTTTCTGGAGTTGATTCTCTTCTTGCACTATGCGAGCCTCAGGGATTGAACTCAGATCATCAGGTTTGGCAGCAAGTGCCCTTACCCACTGAGCCATCTTGGCAGTCTAAATTCTGGTCTTTTGAAGCAAGGTCTCATTTTCTCTGTAGCCCAGGCTAGTCTGACAGGGTTTCAGTTCTTCCCCTGACAACAAGCAAGGACAGCTGTCCTGCCAAGTTTGTTAACCTGCATCCACTAGTACTTTTCTTGGCAAGAGGAAGCCTGCAACTTACCTCCTTGGAAAGATGCCATTTTCCAAACTTGTTGTCTGACTCCGAAGCCAGCGGCGCTGATAACTGCTGGAAGAGGACGCAGAGGGGCTTGGAGATGGGAAGGGTGTGATCAGAAGGCTGCTTAGCGAGGCTGTGAGGAAACAAATTTGATTCGAAAGTTCCAGCACCAGTCCTTATGTAACTACACAACGCATATTAAAAATGTACTCAATACCACTGAGGTGTACATTTAAATTGGATTTGATACCCAACTGGTACCCACGTACAAAGCTGGGCATGGTAGTGTGCACTTGCAATCCCAGTACTGGGGAGGAAGAGATAGGGGGATCCCTGGGTTCACTGTCAGTCAGCCTAGATGAATCAGGGAGCCACAGCTCCCTGAAACCCTGTCACAGAAAACAAGGTGGATGGATCCTGAGGAACAATACCCAAGGATGACTTCTGACAACATACCCACATACATGCATGCACATCAGCACACATACACTCACTCCCCAATGCCCCGCACGGATGGATGGATGGATGGATGGATGGATGGATGGATGGATGGATGTATTGATTAGATACACAGGCATAGTGGTACATTCTTGAGTTCCAGGCTAGCTTATATAGTTACATAATAGCAAGTTTAAGACTAGCTGGGGCTACACAGCAAGACTCTGCCTCCCCACAACTCCCCCCAAAGAGAATATGGTGACAAATTTTATGCTATACGTATTTTAAAGTCATTTTAAAAAATGGATATGCGAAATAACCTAAATTTTGGGGGTTCTACCATTCATGTCCAGCAGAGGGAGACTATAATTTCTCTGAAAGATTTCTGTAGAGCAAAGTTTTAAAAAATTCAGGGGGTGGGGGGTTTTCAACAAATCATCTCTTGCTATGTAGTTCAAGCTATCCTTGAACTGCTGCCTCGGCCTCCTCAGTACTGGGATTGCAGGCGCACACCATCATGCCTGGTGAAGGAAATGCTCTTTAGGTGCTGGAGAGACGGCTCAGCGTTAAAAGCACTTGCTGCTCTTTCAGAAGACCCAAGTTTAGTTTCCAGCACCCACATGGTGGCTCACAACCGTCCGTAACTCCAATTCTGGGAAAATCCAACACCTTCTTCTGGTCACCACAGGCAATGCACTTGCATGAATGTGGTGCACATGAACTCAAGCACTCACAGACATATAAAATAAATAATTTTTAAAAAGAAAATATTCTTAATAAAGGAAAAAAAGGATCACAGATCTGGTAAGTACGTAAGTAATCAGGCTTTATGCTACAAATAAAAAATGAATGATTAAGCAGAGCTTGCTCTGCAGAGTTCTCAGAACACAGTCTATGTACTGCACCAATGTCATGTTCCAACGCTTACTTATATATATTTCTTCAATCTCTACTTAGAAGGAAAATTTAGGTAAAGTAACTAATCAGTCTACATGAAATCCTCTCTCCTGACCCTCATTATCAAACAAAGAATACTTATCCTCCTTCTTCAAGCTCCTCCTAACCCCCTTGTCTGTGAACAAACTATGTGTAGTTTTAAATTCACTTATTTTTTGTGTAGATGAGCATACGCTCTGAATAAATAATTTCAGTTGGAGGGGAGGGAGCAGGCATGGATTTGATCAAAACACCTTATATGCATGTATGAAATTCTCAGTAATTTATTTAAAAAGAAAAAAATAGGGGCTGGAGAGATGGCTCAGTGGTTAGGAGCACTGACTGCTCTTGCAGAGGACCTGAGCTCGATTCTCAGCACCCACATGGCAGCTACGAGCCGTCCTTAACGCCAGTTCCAGGGGAATCCGAAGCCCTCTTTTGACCTCTGCAGCACTGCACAACACGGGTAGCACTCACATACATGTAGGCAATACACTCATATACATAAAATAAAAATAAGAAAATAATTAAAGCCAGGTATGGTGGTGCACGCCTTTAAGCCCAGCACTTGGGAGGCATAGGCAGGCTGTGCCATCAAGATCCAAACACAAGAAGGGCTCAAAGGGAATAAACTCCAGACATTCTACATGAAAAAAACTGGATAATATTTAAAAAAAAATAACTACTGTTATTTATACTTAACATATATGGGTTGGCCCTATTTCTCTTTTATTCAAACATTCATTGAGCACCTACTACATGCCAGGCATTTTATACGCTGCTGAGGACAGAGAATCAAGTGACAAAGTGAGCGGATCTCTGCCCTCATGGAGCTTACACTCCCAGAGACAAGAAATACACAACTACCCACACACACTCAAGGAATAAGCAAAAGGAAGTGTTAAGTCTCCAGGAGCAACCTTGCCACTGGGAGGACCACAAAAGTCAAGAACCTCAAAGTAGCCAGAATCTGCAATGGCAGAATTTTAAGGTTGACTTAGTTATTCAAAAAAAAAAAAAAAAAAAAAAAAAAAAAAAAAAGAAGAAAGAAAAAAGAAATGTGGTAACAGCAGGCAACTGGCACCCAAGGAACTCTGTGCGCAAACAGGGCTACAGCAGATGTTCAGGGCAGGTCCAAACTTAGGCCTAGAATACCAGGTTTTGTCCCTGCCGAACACATCTTAACTTGTAAGGAGACATGGAGGGAAGGATGTTGCTGACAGCCCCTATCTTTTCTTCTGCAGCCAAACTCTCATCCACATGAGAAACTCGTGCAGAACAGGGCTCCTTCCATCTCATCCTCTTTTCCTAGCCCAACCACATCTGCCTTCTTTGTATTTTTATTCACACAGAATTTCTGTGCCTAATCTACTAATCTGCAAAGCCTGTCCTCACCTCCAGCTTTGTGCTGGCTGTCCTCATAACCCAGACTGCTCTCTGCTCTGGCATTATCAGAGCAGGTCTCTACTGGTATTCAAGTCTTGGCAGAAACTTTTACCATTTCTGGGGCTTTCCCTGAGCATCCCCATATTTTCTTTTCTTCAGTGGTAAGTGTGGGTTGTTTCTCCTGAACTAAAGAGCAACAAAATGAGATCAGGGACATGTCTTTCTAAGCAGTGATCCATTCCCACACCTCAGGAAAGTGTCTGCTGTATGAGATGCTCAAGAAATGATGCTGAGCCAGACAAGGTGGCACATGCCACCCAGCTCCCAGGAGATAGAGGCAGGTGGATCTCTGTGAGTTCAAGGTTAACCTGGTCTACATAGTGAGTTCTAGGCCAGCTGGGGCTACAGGGAGACCCTGTTCAAAAAGACCAAAAAAAAAAAAAAAAAAGATGCTGAATAAGGATGAACCTATCAGATGAAGGGCTATAATTTGTGTGAATCACTAAGTACAATGGCAATAAAGCAAAAAGAGACAAATACCTAGACTGAATTCAAACACTGACTTCACTGAAAAAGTGTCCTTTCTCCTATAAACACAGCATTTAGATTCCCTCTTTTTTCCCACTTTCATTTAAAGTTTTTGTTTTTGATGGTGGCAGTTAGCTCTGAACCAATGCAACTAAAAGAAAAAAATCTTATCATCATTTTTATTTTATGTACATGAGTGTACTGTCTACATGTATGTAAGTGCAGGAAGGTCAGAAAAGGGTATTGAATCCCCAGGAACTGGAGTTACAATGGTTAGCCGCCATGCAGGTGCTGGGAACCCAGGTCTTCCACAAGAGCAGCCAGTGCTCTTAACTGCTGAGTCACCTCTCTAGCCCCCAATGTACTTTTTAGATCTGTCTTTATCTTTTTCATTTTTTTGAGAAGGTTCTTGCTAGATAGCCCAGGCTGTCCTTGAAATCTTATTCTGTCACAGCCTCCTGGGTGTTGAAATTCCAAGGGCATACCACCACACCCCAGCTTTTTACCTCTGACACAGTGGGTACTTCCTGAACACAATTAATGACCTCAAGTTACTAAAGTAATACTGACAGTACTTCAAGTTTTTGCTCATTTAAATACTTGAAAAGTACCAGGTTCCTTAAAATTTAGTATGTAGTTGTTTTTTGAACACAATGGAAGCCAGGCGTGGTAGTGCATGCCTGTAGTCCCAGCACTTGGGAGGCAGAGGCAGACGGATCTCGTGAGTTCAAGGCCAGCCTGGTCTACATACTGAGTTCCAGGACAGCTGGGGCCACAGGGAGACCCTGCTTCAAAAAGACCAAAAAAAAAAAAAAAAAAAAAAAAAAAAGAAAACACAATGATCTAAAAGAAGTCAATGAGGTACTGTTGTCTAACAGGAATTTAATAAACAATTCAAGGTTTAGGCAATAAAGTTTAGTTCCTAAACCACAAAATGACTTTAAGACTTTAGAAGGGAAGGCTTGATGTCATGTGCCTACAACTCCAGCTATTTAGGAGGCTGAGGCAGCCTGGTCTACTACACAGATGAATAAAGGCTAGCCTGTCTCAAGATTAAAAAGTGAAAAAAAAAAGGGAGGGGTTGGGTATACAGTTCAGTGGCATAGTGCTCCCCTAGTACATGCAGTCATTATAGTAAATTATAAAAAAAGTCTTTAAGCCAGGTATGGTGGTGTACGCCTTTAATCCTAGCACTCAGGAAGCAGAGGCAGTAAGAGCTCTGTGAGTTCAAGGCCAGTCTGGTCTATATAATGAGTTCCAGGCCAGCTGGGGCTACAGGAGGACCTTGTCTCAAAAAAAAAAAAAAAAAAAAAAAAAAAAGCACTAAAGAGTCTTCAAATGCATCATTTAATATTTCTAGAAAGCCCTTTGAATAAAAATACAGTGCTTTAAAACATCTTAAATTTTAATCCTTTTAATGCCTTTAATCCTGCATTTAGGAGGCAAAGGTGGGTGGATCTCTATGAAATCAAGGCCAGCCTGGTGTCCATATTGAGTTCCAGGCCAGGCTGTGGCTACAGAACTCA